AAATGGTTCACATCCCAAAATAGTTGTCACGTTCATTTAAGGACGGGTCAGACCAAGGCGCAGCGTGATATGCATACATGTTTATTTACAACGAATAAACACACGACAAAACAACAAACCAAACGAAACGTGAAGTCCAAAGGCTGAACAAAAAACTAGCCTAAACATTGAACAAGATCCCACAACTAACGAGTGCCAATAGGCTGCCTAAGTATGATCCCCAATCAGAGACAATGAGCGACAGCTGCCTCTGATTGGGAACCACACCGGCCAACATAGATCTACACATACTAGATAGAAAACATAGAACTACTAACATAGAACATCACACCCTGACTCAACATACAGAGTCCCATAAGTCAGGGCGTGACAATAGTTTAAATTGTTAAATGATGTAAGTGTTTTTGACAATGGGTCAATTGCTTTAATCATCAAGATTATTTTTTTTACACATTAATAAACAGTTATGGTTAAAATTGTGATATAGTCATTTGTGCTTGCCAAATTTTAAGCTTGGTTGAATAATGGTTTATAAATGCAATTAAAATGGTCATAAGACAAACTCTTATTCGATCATGTAACCTTTCACTGTTGAAGAACATTTTCACTTTTGGATGTGATGCATTGGTGTAATTATATATTTATTAAGGCATCATGTCAAGGAATTAAGGCTTAAATGAATGTCTGCCCATCTGCGCAACACACTCGAAATAACGACCTCGAACATGTCCATTTGTGTTGACACTGACGTCATGTGACAGTACGCAAAGAACGGGGTCGAGAAGGTCAGTGTGCAAAATCCAGACATGATAGATTGCCATGAAAGAAAAAAAGACAGGAGAGAGAAAGTATGTTTTCCATGCAATTTGTTTAGCTTTTTTGGGGGATACATGATTTCTACTGGACAATTTAACATAGGAAGTCAGCTATCTAGCTAGCATTTGCCAGCTACCTCAGCTAGCTCATTGCAGAGCCCTATATGGCTCTGGCTAACTGTAGCTAGCTAGCTAGTTAGCAAACATAGCTAGCTAGGTAGCAAACTTTAGCTGGCGTTTTTGTTAGGCCTACCAACTAGGCTAGCTAGCTAACTAGTTACCATAACACATTCTACATAATATACTTTCCATGCAATCTGTTGAGTTTTGTTTGGATTAGCTAACATGCTAGCTAGCTAGCTAGTTTTCTAACCTAAAGCTGTCAAATAGCTATGCTATGGTTGCTACTCGCTAACTAACTAGATAGCAAGCTGGGCTCACCTATGTGTGAAGCTAGCCACAATAGCAATTAGCCACTACATTGGAATTTACGGTTCGCCTTCATAATAAAAGTCCCCCATTGAAAGTGATGCAAACGGAGCTCACACAGCATGTTAACATTAGCTAGCTACGTGTGTCAACATACATTATGAGTAACATTAGTTCCTTTCCAATGTAGCTAAACACAAGCTAACTTATTAGTGTAAGCACAGATAGAAAAATGGCCCAGATGTTTCATTCATGTGAAGCATTCGGTTGGAGTTTCCTCTCCCCGATTTATTGCACCCGTTACTGAGATGGTTGTTCTAGTTTAGATGATTGAGGTTGTATCAATATTCAATCTTTCCTACCCTGGTAGTCAACACCACTGTGTTGGGGTATAACTACGCCCTCAAGGAAAGGCCGTATGATATACACTTACTGTACAAACCATTAGGAACGCATTTCTAATATTGAGTTACACCCCCTTTTGCCCTCAGAACAGCCTCATTTCGTCAGGGCATGGACTCTACAAGGTGTCAAAAGCGTTCTACACGGATGCTGGCCCATGTTGACTCCAATGCTTCTCACAGTTGTGTCAAGTTGTCTGGATGTCTTTTGGGTGGTGGACCATTCTTGATACACACGGGAAATAGTGAGCGTGAAAAACCCAGCAGCGTTGCAGTTCTTGACACATTCAAACCGGTGCGCCTGGCACCTACTACCATGCCCCGTTCAAAGACACTTAAAACTTTTGTCTTTCCCATTCACCCTCTGAATGGCACACATACACAATCCATGTCTCAATTGTTTCAAGGCTTAAAAATCCTTCCTTAACCTGTCTCCTCCCCTTCATCTACACTGATTGAAGTGGATTTAACAAGTGACATCAATAAGGGATCATAGCGTTCACCTGGATTCACCTGGTCAGTCTATGTAATGGAAAGAGCAGGTGTTCCTAATTTTTGGTAAATATGTATTGTATTGTCATAAATACATTTTAATGGCTAATAAGGTTGGTGGAACCATTCATAGCCGGTTTTAGGAAGAACCCTCCGAAGATAAAAGGGTTCTCGGTAGAACCCTTCATAGAGGGTTCTAGGTAGAACCATAGGCATGGGTTTATTTGAACTCTCTGCAAAGGCTTCTACCCAGAACCAGAACGGGTTCGCCTATGGGGACAAACCAAAGAACCCTGTATGGTTCTACTTAGCACCTTTTTTTCTAAGAGTGTATTGGACAGCCAGGTTGATGTAGGCTGAGCGGTAGGAGCTGATCCTCCTTGTACAGCTCCACACACATCAGACCTGTCACCTCAGCCATGGTCGTGGCTATAGCCGGGATTATGTGCCTCGCAATCAGCTTACTCTGTGGATGAGATGGGAAAGAAACTGTCAGTCTGAGAGTGTGTGTGTGTTCCTGGATGTCTGCTAAGGTGCTATTAGGAGAACAAAAAGGAAGGACAGGGGGAATAAAGGTGATGTCATCTATAAACAAGACCAAACATGCATTAGCTCCAGTACGGCTGAAAAGTGTCCCCCTGTCTAAAGGTTTCTGCATGCTTCAGTTCAGTTCGACTGGCACCTAGCCGAACTCGGCTAGGCGAACCGAACGAGTGTGCTCACGTACTCCCTAAAAATACCTTCGCTTGAAAAACAAGAAAAAAGCGGCAATAGTACTGCTTGTCCATTTTGAGATGGCGTAGCCAGTATCACTTCCTCAAAGTCAGAATTAATTGAAGATAACTCAAGAAATATGTCATTTTATCTAGCTAAGATGTTTGGTGAAATATTTATCAAGCGAAAAATTTTGCCTGAAATGATTAATCTCTCATTGAATTACAACAAACACATAATTGAAGAATCCCTACTGTTGACCAATCACTGACGAAGGGGCATAGACTTCGGCTACCGATGTCGGCTTACCTCGATAAAAAATGTTGTGTGCCCGAACAGCCAAAAACAAACAAAAACGTCCCAAAATGTCGTCATAATATGAGCACGAACTGTTCTCAACTGTTTCGGCTGGGAAGCATGCAGACACCCCCCCCCCCCATCTGTCTGGGTGTCTGTGTGTGTGGGGCCCTGGCCCGGCTCAGGTAACACATCCCAGGGGACAACGGGTAAAGTGATTTGTTCTGCCTCAGGAACAAAGGTGAGTGGGCCGTCTTTCCTCTTTTAATGCTCGCTTGGTGGCTTCAGGGCAGGTGAGAGCAACAATAGAAAACCCAGCCAGGACGGAGGGGGACGGGGAAGAGTGTATGTGTGTGTGTGTGTGTGTGTGGTGAGTGTGTGTGTGGTGCGTGTGTGTGAGGGGGTGGAGAGGGTTGCCGTTAACTCTCCGTTTCTCTCAGTAGTGTCGTTGTGATAAGGGAAAATAAGGAAGATTCTAACCTTCTGACGATCAGCAGTTGGGGTGTCATAGTTCTCTGCCTTCAAGTTAGAGGCAGCAACGATGTAGTCCATTTGGAAGTTATTATCATCATCCTGTAAATACAATTTCTTATCTTTATAATACATTCATTTATTAACCGTTAATATCCAAAGACCCTAGTGAGATTGTTATGTTTTCTTTCAGGGAACACCTGCCACAGTAGGGACATCCTTTAAAAGAGGAGACAAGAGGAGAAACATTCTGACATACATTACATCAACAGCTGTGAGATGAAGATAAGATGAGAACAAATGACTCCAGGAACAGAATCCTTCACAGCATATCCCTGTCTAAACTCTGTTAGCCATATTAAAGTCGAATGAGTCAATGACGTGATGCCATGGTTTGAGCTCTGAGGCCTTTGTGTCTGTGTCACTTTAATTACAATAATACATTGCTTATTCACCCCTCTGCGATTTAAATCAGATTTACCCTGTGAGCGACACTATCTATGAGCTCATACCTCAGCCAGCACGGCTGAACAATGCCTGGTGAGGCGAAAGTCAATCAGGGGCAGCTGGAGGGGTCGTGAGGTAGTCACACCTGGCAACCCAATGCTGTGGAATCTGCTTCCACACATTCCAGGCATCCGCAACATGACCTGGCCAGGTAGTAGGGGTAGAGAGGATGAGGAGGTGGAGGAGGAGGAAGAAGAGCATGGCCATTTTGAGGGTCTCACTCCCATTAAAGATGACATGTGATACGCACCTGACTTACCTCATCCAGCCTATTCCCCTCTCCTAACCACACTCAAATCAGTCATCTACCCTACATGCCTCTAAACCTCATTTTAATGTCTAGAGAGTGCTAGATAGGGAGTGGGAGAGAAGAAGAGAGAGAGAGTGGGGGTGAGAGAAAGAAAGGAGAGAGACCGTGACTAGCTGCACAATGGAAGTGTTATGGAGGAACTGCTGCCCTCAGGGCTGTCTGAGTGTGCCACTTCAAAGGGCTGGGTGACATGGTGGTGGTAGACCATGTGAGATGGGGAGTGGGGGGACAGGGGGGGACACTGCAGACAGGGATCCTCAGTGGCCAAAACACCCTACAGCCTAACAAACAGAGCTGGAGGTCCTCACACTGGTGACTATTCATTCACCAGACTGGTTTTAACAGGATGTGCACTCTCTAAAACGCTCCCCCTTGCAGTGGTAGTGCAAAAGAAAGGCCCCAGAACACAGGACAGCCCTGTTTCCTAGACACCCTGTTAAGGACTGGTACAGACCAGACTCACAGAGGACTCAAAGATGAAACTGCCATTTTGTGGCCCCATGTAGAGTTTAGCGTGGCCCCCTCCCAGGGGCCAGCCGCCAGTGTGTCTGTGGCCTCTAGCATTATGCAGCGTGAGCAGTGGAGATATGCCAAGCATGACACTGTGGTTTTATTACCTTCTCAAAGTCAATGGGGTGCATCTGCAGGGCTGAGCTGTTCACTGGAGGAGAGGACAGCTTCTTCTGCAACTCATCCAGTCGCCATGTATCTGGTCAAATGGAAAAGTGAGTTACATATAAGCGAAATTTGCTTACATCCCTGTTAGTGAGCCTTTCTCAAGATAATCCATCTACTTGACAGGTGTGGCATATCAAGAAGCTGATTAAACAGCATGATCATTAAACAGGTGCACCTTGTGCTGGGGACAATAAAAGGCCACTCTAAAATGTGCAGTTTTGTAACACAACATAATGCCACAGATGTCTCAAGTTTTGAGGGAGCGTGCAATTGGCATGCTGACTGCAGGAATGTCCACCAGAGCTGTTGCCAGATAATTGAATGCTAATTTATCTACCATAAGCTGCCTCCAACGTCATTTTAGAGAATTTGGCAGTACGTCAAACCGACCTCACAACCGCAGACCACGTGTAACCACGCCAGCCCAGGACCACCACATCTAGCTTCTTCACCTGCAGGATGGTCTGAGACCAGCCACCCGGACATCTGATGAAATTGAGGAGTATTTCTGTCTGCAAAAAAGCCTAAATAAAGCCGTTTTGCACAACCAAAGAATTTCTGCACAAACTGTCAGAAACCATCTCAGGGAAGCTCAAATGCGTGCTCGTCGTCCTCACTAGGGTCTTGACCTGACTGCAGTCCGGTGTCTTAACTGACTTTGGTGGGCAAATGCTCACCTTCGATGGCCACTGGCACGCTAGAGAAGTGTTCTCTTCATGGATGAATCCCAGTTTCAACTGTACCGGGTAGATGGCAGACAGTGTTATGGCGTCGTGTGAGCGAGCGGTTTGCTGATGTCAACTTTGTGAACAGAGTGCACCATGGGGTTATGGTATGGGCAGGCATAAGCTACAGACAATGAACACAATTGCATTTCATCTATGGCAATTTGAATGCACAGAGATACCTTGACAAGAACCTGAGGCCCATTGTCGTGTCATTCATCCGCCCCCATCACCTCATGTTTCAACATGATAATGCACAGCCCCATGTCGCAAGGATCTGTACACAATTCCTGGAAACTGTAAATGTCCCAGTTCTTCCATGGCCTGCATACTCACCAGACGTCAACCATTGAGCATTTTTGGGATGATCTGGATTGACGTGTATGACAGCGTGTTCCAGTTACTGCCAATATCCAGCAACTTCGCACAGCCATTGAAGAGGAGTGGGACAACATTCCACAGGCCACAATCAACAGCTTGGTCAACCTTATGCGAAGGAGATGTGTCGCACTGCATGAGGCAAATAGTGGGCACAACAGATACTGACTTGTTTTCTGATCCACACCCCTACTTTTTTTTTTTACGGTATCTGTGTCCAACAGATGCATCCATAGATTAGGGCCTAATGAATTTATTTTAATTGACTGATTTATTTATATGAACTGTAACTTTTAAATTGTTGCATGTTGCGTTAATATTTTTGTTCAGTGTGTGAAGGACAGTTTACTCACCCCAACCTCCACTCTCCCTCTCCTCCTCCATCTCCTTGTCAGTGAGGTGGATCTTGACAGTAGATTTGGGGGTGAAGGCAGGTACAGTTGAAGTCGGAAGTTTACATACACTTAGGTTGGAGTCATTATAACTAGTTTTTCAACCACTCCACAAATTTCTTGTTAACAAACTATAGTTTTGGCAAGTCAGTTAGGACATTTCTCCAACAATTGTTTACAGACAGATTATTTCACTTTTAATTCACTGTATCACAATTCTAGTGGGTCAGAATTTTACATACACTAAGTTGACTGTGCCTTTAAACAGCTTGGAAAATTCCAGAAAATGATGTCATGGCTTTAGAAGCTTCTGATAGGCTAATTGACATCATTTGAATCAATTGGAGGTGTACCTGTGGATGTATTTCAAGGCCTACCTTCAAACGCAGTGCCTCTTTGCTTGACTTCATGGGAAAATCAAAAGAAATCAGCCAAGACCTCAGAAAAATAATTGTAGACCTCTACAAGTCTGGTTCATCCTTGGGAGCAATTTCCAAACGCCTGAAGGTACCACGTTCATCTGTACAAACAATAGTACGCAAGTATAAACACCATGGTGTCACGCTCTGGCTCCGGGACTGTGTATTTTGAGCCAGGGTGTGTTCATTTGTGTTGTATTTGGTTGTGTTTCCTTGTTTGGTCGTGTGACTCCCAATCAGTGGTAACGAGTGTCAGCTGTCGGCTCGTTATCTCTGATTGGGAGCCATATTTAAACTGTCAGTGTTCACCTTAGTGTTGTGGGTTTTTGTTCCTTGTCAGTCATTGTGGACTTCACGTATCGTCATTTGTTTTGTTGTTTTCGTGTTACGCTTATATTAATAAATCATCATGTTCGTGCAACGCGCTGCGTATTGGTCTACTCCTTTGGAAGACGATCGTGACAGAAAAACCCACCTTAACCAGATCAAGCAGCATGAAGAAGAGAGAGGATGGACTTGGGAGCAGTTGAGTAGGAGTCTCGACTGGGCCAAGCCAAGAGAGGAGGAGAGAGGTTGGACTTTGGAGCAGTGGGGTGATAGTCTGGCGAGAACGATGGAGGCCTGGTCCACGAAGAGGAGAGAACCCCAGAAAATTTTTAGGGGGGGGCTCACGACGTCGGACCAGCAGGAGGCCGCGATAGAGCGGTCCAGTGGGTTGCCGGAGGAGGCCGTCGGGTTACGGGGGCCACTGGTCGAAGAGGGGATGGAGGAAGTAGAGGCACGGCGAGAGGTACTGGCGTGTGTTGCCAGTCCGGTCCGGCCCGTTCCAGATCCCGGTGTAGGGCCAGTGGTGTGTGTCCCCAGTACAGTCCGGCCCATCCAAGCTCCCCGCACCAAGCCAGTGGTGTGCGTCGTCAGCCCTGTCCGGCCCGTTCCTGCTCTCCGCGCCAGGTCTGTGGTGCGCGTCGCCAGCCCTGTCAGACCCGTGCCTGCTCTCCGCACCAAGTCTATGGTGCGTTTCGTCAGCCCTGTCCGGCCTGTTCCTGCCACTCGCACCAAACCAGGGGTGCGAGTCGCCAGCCTGGTCCAGCCCGTTCCTGCTACTCGCACCAAGCCAAGGGTGCGAGTCGTCAGCCGGATTCTGCCTGTTCCTGCCACTCGCACCAAGTCAAGGGTGCGAGTCGTCAGCCGGATTCAGCCCATTCCTGCTACTCGCACCAAGCCAAGGGTGCGAGTTGTCAGCCGGATTCAGCCCATTCCTGCTACTCGCACCAAGCCAAGGGTGCGAGTCGTCAGCCGGATTCAGCCCATTCCTGCTACTCGCACCAAGCCAGGGATGCGAGTCTTCAGCCTGGTGAGGCCTGTTCCGGCTCCACGCACCATGCAAAGGGTGCGTATCGTCTGCCAGGTCTGGTCCATTCCTGCCTCACGCGCCAAGCCAGGGGTGCGCGTCGGCAGTCCTGATCCAGCTAACTGGGTCAGATCGGACTGGGGGCACTACGGGGGGATTGTAGTAGGGTGGTGGTCAAGCCCGGAGCCGGAGCCGCCTCCGAGGAGCAATACCCACCCAGCCCTTCCCTATTTGGGGTGTAGGCGCGGTCGGAGTCCGCGCCTTTAGGGGGGGGTACTGTCACGCTCTGGCTCCGGGACTGTGTATTTTGAGCCAGGGTGTGTTCATTTGTGTTGTATTTGGTTGTGTTTCCTTGTTTGGTCGTGTGACTCCCAATCAGTGGTAACGAGTGTCAGCTGTCGGCTCGTTATCTCTGATTGGGAGCCATATTTAAACTGTCAGTGTTCACCTTAGTGTTGTGGGTTTTTGTTCCTTGTCAGTCATTGTGGACTTCACGTATCGTCATTTGTTTTGTTGTTTTCGTGTTACGCTTATATTAATAAATCATCATGTTCGTGCAACGCGCTGCGTATTGGTCTACTCCTTTGGAAGACGATCGTGACACATGGGACCATGCAGCCGTCATACCGCTCAGGAAGGAGACGCATTCTGTCTCCTAGAGATGAACGTACTTTGGTGTGAAAAGTGCAAATCAATCCCAGAACAACAGCAAAAGGACCTTGTGAAGATGCTGGAGGAAACAGGTACAAAAGTATCTATATCCACAGTAAAACAAGTCCTATATCGACATAACCTGAAAGGCTGCTCAGCAAGGAAGAAGCTACTGCTCCAAAACCACCATAAAAAAGCAAGACTACGGTTTGCAACTGCACATGGGGACAAAGATCGTACTTATTGGAGAAATGTCCTCTGGTCTGATGAAACAAAAATAGAACTGTTTGGCCATAATGACCATCGTTATGTTTGGAGGAAAAAGGGGGTGGCTTGCAAGCCGAAGAACACCATCCAACCGTGAAGCACGGGGGTGGCAGCATCATGCTGTGGGGGTGCTTTGCTGCAGGAGGGACTGGTGCACTTCACAAAATAGATGGCATCATGAGGAAGGGAAATTATGTGGATATTTTGAAGCAACATCTCAAGATATCAGTCAGGAAGTTAAGTGTATGTCAACTTCTGACCCACTGGGAATGTGATGAAAGAAATAAAAAAACTATTATTCTGACATTTCACATTCTTAAAATAAATTGGTGATCCTAACTGAACTAAGACAGTGAATTTTTACTAGGATTAAATGTCAGGAATTGTGAAAAACTGAGTTTAAATGTATTTGGCTAAGGTGTATGTAAAACTTCCGACTTCAACTGTACATTGACCCTCTCTAGGACGCTCTTAATGGCAGAGATTGTGTACCCACAATCCCATAGATCGGCCCATAAAGGTTGGCTGCTGCCACCACACAGTCTATATGGATGGACTACAATACATGACAAGATAGCACAAACTGTTAATGGCCCTCCCACCTCAACATTCAGAACCAGACCTGCTGAGTTAGAATACATACTTATGTTACACATATGCTAACTCAAACAAAATCCACTAGTAATTTTTTATCATTTCCTGCCAGTTGCACAGTTGCCAGGAGCAAAGGTTGTGGAAAATGTTCACATCGGACAGGATGTTCCTCATGGAATATGGCAACCACATGATGAATGGGCTGAATGAGCTAGGAGCAGAGTCACCCGTTAGTGACCAAAGGAAAAAACCTTCTGAACTTACAAGTCAGAAAACAATAATATTTACATCAGTTTAAAAACTCCCATCGGTAACCAACCAAACCCTTGTGATTCTTCATGTAGATTTCAAAAGTCATGTCTGCTATTGAATACATCAGAGGATTATGAAAGATTCATTGGGTGTTTCCATTGACTTACAACTGATATTAAATGGCAGTTAACAGGCCATGAATAGGCTCTAAGCTTTAGAAGCAGTCAGTAGACTGGTTCCCATTGACCCAGGTTTATTAGACAAAAGCAATTGCGACGTGTGTAATGGAAAAGGCAGCTATAGGAGATATGTTCTAAAGCTCTAGAGCATTTGTATCTGGTCGACAGGGGTGGATTTTCTTTTGCTGATCTTTCTTTATTGCGGCAAATCGAGACCTTGTGACTAGAAGGTTATATCTGACATTTTTGTTAAAAATGAGTTAATCACATATAATTGATCTTTAGATGGTTCTACATACAGTGAGGGAAAAAGTATTTGATCCCCTGCTGATTTTGTACGTTTGCCCACTGACAAAGAAATTATCAGTCTATAATTAATGGTAGGTTTATTTGAACAGTGAGAGACAGAATAACAACAACAAAATCCAGAAAAACGCATGTCAAAAATGTTATAAATTGATTTGCATTTTAATGAGGGAAATAACTATTTGACCCCCTCTCAATTAGAAAGATTTCTGGCTCCCAGTTGTCTTTTATACAGGTAACGAGCTGAGATTAGGAGCACACTCTTAAAGGGAGTGCTCCTAATCTCAGCTTGTTACCTGTATAAAAGACACCTGTCCACAGAAGCAATAAATCAGATTCCAAACTCTCCACCATGGCCAAGACCAAAGAGCTCTCCAAGGATGTCAGGGACAAGATTGTAGACCTACACAAGGCTGGAATGGGCTACAAGACCATCGGCAAGCAGCTTGGTGAGTAGGTGACAACAGTTGATGCGATTATTTGCAAATGGAAGAAACAAAAAATAACTGTCAATCTCCCTCGGCCTGGGGCTCCATGCAAGATCTCACCTCGTGGAGTTGCAATGATCATGAGAACGGTGAGGAATCAGCCCAGAACTACACGGGAGGATCTTGTCAATGATCTTAAGGCAGCTGGGACCATAGTCACCATGAAAACAATTGGTAACACACTACGCCATGAAGGACTGAAATCCTGCAGCGCCGCAAGGTCCTCCTGCTCAAGAAAGCACATATACAGGCCCGTCTGAAGTTTGCCAATGAACATCTGAATGATTCAGAGGAGAACTGGGTGAAAGTGTTGTGGTCAGATGAGACCAAAATCGAGCTCTTTGGCATCAACTCAACTCGCCGTGTTTGGAGGAGGAGGAATGCTGCCTATGACCCCAAGAACACCATCCCCACCGACAACTTCACCGCATCAAAGGGACGATGGACGGGGCCATGTACCGTCAAATCTTGGGTGAGAACCTCCTTCCCTCAGCCAGGGCATTGAAAATGGGTCGTGGATGGGTATTCCAGCATGACAGTGACCCAAAACACACGGCCAAGGCAACAAAGGAGTGGCTCAAGAAGAAGCACATTAAGGTCCTGGAGTGGCCTAGCCAGTCTCCAGACCTTAATCCCATAGAAAATCTGTGGAGGGAGCTGAAGGTTCGAGTTGCCAAACGTCAGCCTCGAAACCTTAATGACTTGGAGAAGATCTGCAAAGAGGAGTGGGACAAAATCCCTCCTGAGATGTGTGCAAACCTGGTGGCCAACTACAAGAAACGTCTGACCTCTGTGATTGCCAACAAGGGTTTTGCCACCAAGTACTAAGTCATGTTTTGCAGAGGGGTCAAATACTTATTTCCCTCATTAAAATGCAAATCAATTTATATCATTTTTGACATGCGTTTTTCTGGATTTTGTTGTTGTTATTCTGTCTCTCACTGTTCAAATAAACCTACCATTAAAATTATAGACTGATCATGTCTTTGTCAGTGGGCGAACGTACAAAATCAGCAGGGGATCAAATACTTTTTTCCCTCACTGTATGTCTGTGAAGCTACATTAAAAAAAATGTAACTTAAAATGCAGAAACCCATTTGAACTTGGCGCTATAAAATTCGATCTGCAGTCCAATCACAAGCCTGAACAAACACAGACGGACCAATCAGAACACATATCTTTGTCATCTCCCTCTAAGTATGGTCTAGGCTAGTCTAGCCAGCAATAATGGCACGCAAGCAAAAAACAACACTGTCAGAAATCTTAAAGTAAATGATGTTGTCACATCGTTGCTCAGTAGTGACAGTAATTTGTCTGATCATTATAATACATTTCTTAATGTATTTTATGATGTGTTCTGACTATCTTGGTAAAATAATGGTTATTCCATAATTTATGCTACAGTTTTATTAAAAGCTGAAAATGTCTAATTCAGAAGTGTCAGATTGAACCTTCTATCTATCTGTGATTGCACCCTTCTAGAAAAACTGATTTACTAATGTTTCAGGATTTTGATATCTACACTTTAGTTGAGGTACGTAATGGGTTATGAAGAAGAATTCACTACAAAACAGTTCTGAGAGCTGGGATGTGAAAACTTTGACACTCAATATCTCAGAACTATGCTTTGTGGAAATAAAACCTTACAGTCTCAAGGTAATGAAATTACGATGAAAATTGTGTTTTTTAAATAAATTATGATTGTCAAATAATGGTATGCTGTACACGTGATGTCATCACGTAACTCTAAAGCTCCAATCCACACTTAATTCTAAATGCCTACTGCTTGCTAAATGTTTCTTTGCAGGACAAGGATTGTCCTGACTTTCAAGAATGCCTGAATTCCTTCGCCTTGCTGTTCTGGTTGGCTGGATGCAAGTTTCAACAATTATTTCAGAACTACAGGAGTGCACATGAGAATTATTAGAATATGGCAAATATTAGTCAATTATTGCATTCTATCCATGCTGGCTTTTGCGGGCTACCTGAGACATGAAACAGATGGGTGGGAGGGCATACAGGCTGTCGCCAATTTGTTAATTAGCAATTTGCCTAAATGGTTAATGGAAACACTTTAATCACTAAATTTGTATTTGACTTTCTAGGTTTTGGCGAAAATGAATTTTTATTTTGGGTGTACCTTCATTACATCCAATAGTTTTTATCAGCTCAAGACAGTTCAATGGAAACGCACCGTAGCAGCAATTGTTGCATCTATTTTCTATGCACACTTTCTACATGTCAAAAAAAAATCACTGGACAAGATAATAGCTAGTATGTGCATTGAGTCTGTTGATAAGCAGCATTCCTAAATACCATTGCTGTTATCCCATTGTCTGTCTGTGAGAGCTGCAGGTCCAGACCTGGGGACAACTGAGGTGACAACCCCTCATACCGGGAAAGAGGAGGGGAACAGAGAGGAGAGAACAGGAGAGAAAGAAAGAGGAGAAACAGAGAATAGGTGAAGAAAGACGAGGTGAGAGGAGGAGGAATGGAGAGGACAGGAGGAGAGGATTGGAAAGGAGAGGAGAAAGGAGGGAGGGAGAGCAGAAGAGGCAAGATAGGAGATGAGCGTAGTGTAAAAGATAAGAGAGGAGAGGTGGGACAGGGCAATAGTAGTGTGTGTGAAGAGTTCACACTCAAAACACAATTTTAATTAACCCCTTGGTAACATACTTTTCACCTCAATAGCTCCTTTGTGTGCCTGTGCTTTGGGGATGTGGTGTGTGTAGGTGCATGTGTGTGTGTGTGTGCGTGTGTGTGTTTGTGTGTGCATGTGTGAATGACGGTGATTTCATCCACCTTGCTTTGTCTGCAGCAGCAGGTAAGTGGTTCTCGCAGTTAGGATAAGAATCCATTCAATACACGACCAGAGAGAATGTGAGGAGTCTTATCTGCCGAGATAATGACATTTCGATCATTTCTGCTGACCCTTACGAGAGGCAAATGAGGGCAACTGCAGTATGTGACTGAGAAAAATATAGTAGGTTGTGTAAAACGTATGTTTTTGGGGTCGAAGGTCAGGGATGGGGGACATCTCTTTGCTCCAGACCAAAAAGGCAGTTCTGAACTCGTCAACTGAGAAGAGACAGACAAAGAGGGATTTCTAAATGACATAACTCAATCACAGCAATAATTCCTGAATTTTCTTACCTCGCACTCATCAATACAATGAGGGTATTCAAAGCAAGAGGAGGCTAAAGATACATGTGACTGTTTACACCAATCCATTGGAAAAATACATGATGCACTTAGATGATCATGGGTAGATTTTTTTCAAGAAAATAAGATAACATGATATGGTCATAATCACAGAGTACATTCAAAAACGGATCCTACCCTTTCTCCTCATGGTTGGTAAATACATGACAAGCACATTCTAATCTAATGGGTGTCTAATCAAATACTTTCCCTAAGTCATCATCTGACATACCAACATCACATTCCCAGTGGCCATGCAGGCAGACAGAGAGACAGACTAATGTTGTTATCAGGTGTGTTTATCACGCCATTTGTTGTCCCGAGTAAAAAAGAACAGAGGAACCTGACAGCTTTGATCTAGCCAACAGTCCCAACAGTCTACCAACAGGCTTACAACACTTGGGCTTCAAAGAGAAAGAGAGAACAGGGGAAGAAAATCAGGAACCAAAAAAACTAACTGAAAACAACAATGGATTTAAGTCATTTTTAAAACATCTAAACCCAGCCTCCTGCTCCCATAAGGCTTGAGCCACTACAGAATAATAAGCTACACTCACAAAGGGATCTTTTCTCTTTGTTTTGATGCGTTACAATCTTTATGTGATGTATTGCAGCTGCTCAACAGAATCATAGCCCAGAAAATTGAGAAACGTCAGCATGTGAGGCACGGCCTGGACCATTGTTAACCCATGACAAATGTTCCTGCTAAATGAGTCCAATACCAAAAGGGCTTCTCTCGGGGGACTTGGAGCAAAAATGCAATGTATTTCTTCAAGACGAACCCAGCCTCCCACCAATAAGGCTTTAAACAGGATACGAGTAGAATGGAATCAGTTAATCAGTCAGAGGTATGTTTATTAACCCATATTATTTCAAGCAGGGGAGATAGTGTTTATCAGACTAGGCCAGACAGGTCCAGTTGTCAGAGTCCTGTAAAGGCTTAATCCATATGACGAGGGTCACAGTGGGAGTATATGGGTTGGCACTAATTATTCTAGAGTCCCCCAGGTGTGACAGCATGTAATGTTGCTCTCTCATCAGTCTACATGCCACAGGAGATTATATGGATCCCAACAGACACTTTTGAGGATAGCATATCAGTGGGGTGTGAAATACTAAATATCCCAAGATATGTTCATGTTGTGTTCAATAACGCTGGAAAGCCAGCTTTGAGCTAGCTGTATATTCTTGCATTATGCCTTTCAAGGAAAACATTACATTGGACAGCTGCAGATGTTAAAGCTGCAGAGTTTCCAATTATTGAAAATGTTACTGTATATAAACTGAATTCTTATACATGATCTAGACCTATGGCATAGGTCTTGATCATGTATAAGCACACTATCACATGTAACAGAGATTGATTTACTGTTACCCGTTGAGGGGCAAGCAATGCAGCAGATGTGCAATGTTGTTGTTGTAGATGGTCTCCCACTGGCGTCGGGCCCCACCCAACACAGTCCTCCCGGCCTTGGGGCCGCTGCCCCCCCCCACGCCTCCCCACACACACTGCAGGACCTCCAGAGTCTCTGCCTCCCCCCGGCCCAGGGTACGCTCCAGGAACCCAGCAGCATCCCTGCAGGGAACAGCAGCATAAGCACCATTAGACCAGGACCCCTCCCCTAATGGGCTGGCATGTAATCCTCTTTCAAGAGGATGATTCTCCAGAAAGAGACAGAAAAACCCAAAGGAAAACAATAAGTGATGATGTAAGATGGTGGACAGGATGAGTTTGGCTTTTAAAGCTCATTTAAACCATCTCAAGGTCTCATAACATACTCCCTTCTCCCAGGGTTTATCCTTCCAGAGAGAGAGGGATTGACTCCCATTGTTCTGGCCTGGCTTGTTTCAAATTCCAATGGTAATTGTTTAACAACTGAACAGTGGTGTTAGGAGCAGCCAAGTCCTGTTCAACAACACCGGTTTTATGGATCCTGTTCTGGTCAAGAACAAGAACACCATCCCCACCGACAAACATGGAGGTGGAAACATTATGCTTTGGGGGTGTTTTTCTGCTAAGGGGACAGGACAACTTCACCGCATCAAAGGGACGATGGACGGGGCCATGTACCGTCAAATCTTGGGTGAGAACCTCCTTCCCTCAGCCAGGGCATTGAAAATGGGTCGTGGATGGGTATTCCAGCATGACAATGACCCAAAACTCACAGCCAAGGCAACAAAGGAGTGGCTCAAGAAGAAGCATATTAAGGTCCTGGAGTGGCCTAGCCAGTCTCCAGACCTTAATCCCATAGAAAATCTGTGGAAGGAGCTGAAGGTTCGAGTTGCCAAACGTCAGCCTCGAAACCTTAATGACTTGGAGAAGATCTGCAAAGAGGAGTGGGACAAAATCCCTCCTGAGATGTGTGCAAACCTGGTGGCCAACTACAAGAAACGTCTGACCTCTGTGATTGCCAACAAGGGTTTTGCCTCCAAGTACTAAGTCATGTTTTGCAGAGGGGTCAAATACTTATTTCCCTCATTAAAATGCAAATCAATTTATATCATTTTTGACATGCGTTTTTCTGGATTTTTTGGTTGTTATTCTGTCTCTCACTGTTCAAATAAACCTACCATTAACATTATAGACTGATCATTTCTTTGTCAGTGGGCAAACATACAAAATCAGCAGGGGATCAAATACTTTTTCCCTCACTGTACATTGAGGGTATTACTGTGGGTGAGTCAGTGCATGGCAAACCCAAGATATACTCATCCCCTGTCTGTCTAACAGGAAGATGAACAACTCTGTACACAGAGTCAGTCAGTCGGGGGTTGTATTGTTAGTGAGTAGGTGAGCGGTGGGTTAGGGGGGTTGCCTTTGAAACTGGCCAGAGGTCACCCTGCATCTGAGGGGAAGGAAGTGTTCGGCGAGTTGGTGTGGTGGTGGTGGTGGTGTGTGTGTGAGTGGTGTGCAGCAGAGCTCCATGAGTAGCATCTATCAGCCTGTCACGTTTGCCTGGTTCCTGTGCCACGGCCAGTGGTAGAGTTCCTCTGTAAACACTCATTGCTTTAGTTTAAACAGCTCAGTGCTGCACAAGAAAGACAAGCAGAGTGAAGTAGAAGCAGAATGTCTCCCCTGCAGACACTAACACTTTAAAGTGCTCTAAACAGGAAGCATGGCAGCAGTTTGAGGCTGTCTGTTTTACAACATACAACACATGTGGCTTGGCTGGATATGAAGGGCCTGTTAAAGGAAATGTCCCTCTTCGTCTCTTCTTATAATGAAAAAATATATAAGCGCAACATGTAAAGTGTTGGTCCCATGTTTCATGAGCTGAAATAAAAGATCCCAGAAATGTTCCATTCGCACAAAAGCTTATTTCTCTCAAATTTGTTTACAAACCTGTTAGTGAGCTTTTCTTATTTTCCAAGATAATCCATCCACCTGACAGGTGTGGCATATCAAGAAGCTGATCATTACACAGGTGCACCTTGTGCTGGGGACAATAAAAGGCCACTCTAAAATGTGCAGTTTTGTCACACAATACTCAAGTTTTGGCATGCTGACTGTGCAATTGGCATGCTGACTGCAGGAATTTCCACCAGAGCTGTTGGCAGAGAATTTAATGTTATTTTCTATACCATAAGCCGCCTCCAACGTCGTTTTAGAGAATTTGGCAGTTGTGAAACATCACAGTACAGTTGAAAAATATATGGCAAATAGAAATCCAATCTGGATGGTGTTAAGAGATAGATGGGAGGTGTTGAACGGAGCTGAAGGATGGGACTAATAACAACAAGATAACTAATGTAAAGCAAACTGTGTCCATAATAAGTATATAGGTTATAGGTTGAGAGGTTTTGTGAATGAGCACAGTTAGAAAGATATGGCATTTAGAAGCAAACCGGATCATGAAATCATGAAAATGATCGGAGAGGTTGAGGGTAGAGGAAGTTCAGTAGTAAAAACAAACAAAATAGAATTATGTTAAATTGACTGTGTCCATAAAATGTATATAGCATAAGGTGGAAGTAGAGGCCTAAGCGTTGTTGTTCACTAGTTTACTCCAACTAGGGAAGGGGAGGTGGGGTTGGAAAAGTAATAAATGGAAATATTTTTTTTTAAAGGATATGTATGTATATGTATTTCTATGTATGTATGTATGTATGTACAGTGGGGAAAAAAGTATTTAGTCAGCCACCAATTGTGCAAGTTCTCCCACTTAAAAAGATGAGAGAGGCCTGTAATTTTCATCATAGGTACACGTCAACTATGACAGACAAATTGAGATTTTTTTTCTCCAGAGTATCACATTGTAGGATTTTTAATGAATTTATTTGCAAATTATGGTGGAAAATAAGTATTTGGTCACCTACAAACAAGCAAGATTTCTGGCTCTCACAGACCTGTAACTTATTCTTCAAGAGGCTCCTCTGTCCTCCACTCATTACCTGTATTAATGGCACCTGTTTAAACTTGTTATCAGTATAAAAGACACCTGTCCACAACCTCAAACAGTCACACTCCAAACTCCACTATGGCCAAGACCAACGAGCTGTCAAAGGACACCAGAAACAAAATTGTAGACCTGCACCAGGCTGGGAAGACTGAATCTGCAATAGGTAAGCAGATGGTTTGAAGAAATCAACTGTGGGAGCAATTATTAGGAAATGGAAGACATACAAGACCACTGATAATCTCCCTCGATCTGGGGCTCCACGCAAGATCTCACCCCATGGGGTCAAAATGATCACAAGAACGGTGAGCAAAAATCCCAGAACCACACGGGGGGACCTAGTGAATGACCTGCAGAGAGCTGGGACCAAAGTAACAAAGCCTACCATCAGTAACACACTATGCCGCCAGGGACTCAAATCCTGCAGTGCCAGACGTATCCCCCTGCTTAAGCCAGTACATGTCCAGGCCCGTCTGAAGTTTGCTAGAGTGCATTTGGATGATCCAGAAGAGGATTGGGAGAATGTCATATGGTCAGATGAAACCAAAATATAACTTTTTGGTAAAAACTCAACTCGTTGTGTTTGGAGGACAAAGAATGCTGAGTTGCATCCAAAGAACACCATACCTACTGTGAAGCATGGGGGTGGAAAAATCATGCTTTGGGGCTGTTTATCTGCAAAGGGACCAGGACGACTGATCCGTGTAAAGGAAAGAATGAATGGGGCCATGTATCGTGGGATTTTGAGTGAAAACCTCCTTCCATCAGCAAGGGCATTGAAGATGAAACATGGCTGGGTCTTTCAGCATGACAATGATCCCAAACACACCGCCCGGGCAATGAAGGAGTGGCTTCGTAAGAAGCATTTCAAGGTCCTGGAGTGGCCTAGCCAGTCTCCAGATCTCAACCCCATAGAAAATCTTTGGAGGGAGTTGAAAGTCCGTGTTGCCCAGCGACAGCCACAAAACATCACTGCTCTAGAGGAGATCTGCATGGAGGAATGGGCCAAAATACCAGCAACACTGTGTGAAAACCTTGTGAAGACTTACAGAAAACGTTTGACCTGTGTCATTGCCAACAAAGGGTATATAACAAAGTATTGAGAAACTTTTGTTATTGACCAAATACTTATTTTCCACCATAATTTGCAAATAAATTCATTAAAAATCCTACAATGTGATTTTCTGGATTTTTTTCTTCTAATTTTGTCTGTCATAGTTGACGTGTACCAATGATGAAAATTAAAGGCCTCTCTCATCTTTTTAAGTGGGAGAACTTGCACAATTGGTGGCTGACTAAATACTTTTTTCCCCCACTGTAGGTGTACATAGGCCCATTTTCAGCAACAATCAGAACACGTTGTGTTTGCTAATCCAAGTTTATCATTTTAAAAGGCTAATTGATCATTAGAAAACCCTTTTGCAATTATGTTAGCACCGCTGAAAACTGTTGTGCTGATTAAAGAAGCAATAAAACTGGCCTTCTTGAGACTAGTTGAGTATCTGGAGCATCAGCAACTGTGGGTTCGATTACAGACTCAAAATGGCCAGAAACAAATAACTTTCAAATAACCATCAGTCCTTTCTTGTTCTGAGAAATTAAGGCTATTCCATGCGAGAAATTGCCAAGAAACTGAAGATCTCGTACCACGCTGTGTACTCCTCCCTTCACAGAACAGCGCAAACTGGCTCTAACCAGAATAGAAAGAGGAGTGGGAGGCCCCAGTGCACAACTGAGCAAGAGGACAAATACATTAGTGTCTAGTTTGAGAAAAAGGCACCTCACAGGTCCTCAACTGGCAGCTTCATTAAATAGTACCCGCAAAACACCAGTCTCAACGTCAACAGTGAAGAGGCGAGTCCGGGATGCTGACCTTCTAGGCAGAGTTGCAAAGAAAAAGCCATACAGTGAGGGTAAAAAATATTTGATCCCCTGCTGATTTTGTACGTTTGCCCACTGACAAAGAAATGATCAGTCTATAATTTTAATGGTAGGTTTATTTGAACAGTGAGAGACAGAATAACAACAAAAAAATCCAGTAAAACGCATGTCAAAAATGTTATAAATTGATTTGCATTTTAATGAGGGAAATCAGTTCAAATAAACCTACCATTAAATTTATAGACTGATCATGTCTTTGTCAGTGGGCAAACGTACAAAATCAGCAGGGGATCAAATA